TAAAAAGAAATAAGACCAACAGCATTTAATAATTGATTACCAATTAAAATAATTTATTATGGAAAAGGTGAGTTTTTTTTTTAATTCAAAATCACGATAATTATAGGCCTGTAGCCAACTTTCCCCTGACTCTGGGTGCGATGTTCAAGAGAATGCTCCTCTCAGGCGCGCGCTGTCCGTGGACAAGAAGCGAGTCCCAACATTTGGTGTGCTGAGTTTTAGCTTTTGCTGCGTGGGAATCTTGGTCGGAACAAATGTCGGCCCCATCAAGGGTCGTAAACTTTTCTCCTGAGACATGCACGAGTAATTACTACTGCTTTGTTATCTGCCGAGGTACTTTCAGAGTTTCAATAACATCAGCGTCGGCGGTGCGTTCACCACAAAAAAAGACAAACAATTTGACCCATGACAGCTCAATTCCATGTTGGAGCACCTCATGAAACATCTCGGATTTCATATTTTATAGTGAGAGAAGCACGAATCAAATCTGGGAGGGCAGAACAATACTCCCTCCGTTCCTTATTATAAGAGACAAATAACCGAAATACGTTGATAAAAAACAGTTAAAATTAGTTTAAGAATAATTAATGTGTAAAAAGTATAATTGTTTTCCAAAATGCCCTTATAATAAGGAAAGAGAGCATGAGAGAGAACAATTAAAATATTAAAGAAAGAAAAGTGGGAGGGGAGAGAGAGGAGGAGTTGGAGGACATAAATTATGGGTAAATAGAAAATCAACATAAAAAAAAATAGAGACAACTTTTAAGTGTCTCTTATATATAGGAACATACTATAAGAATCAAATATTCTTATAATAGGAACGGAGGGAGTAGAGTGTGCAGCGAGTAGTAGACTTGAAAGAAGCAAAAGCAGATGGCGATAGATAACCCACCGTGCGCAACAACGACTGAGGGCTTGTTTGGATTGACTTATAAGTAGCTTTTCAAACGTGATTTACGGAATGGAGGCAAGTATGTGAAGAGAGGAGTTTGTCTCGATACGGAACTTGCTTAAAAGCCCGTTTTGAACGGAGCTCAAAACAAGCCCAGAGCCGGAAGCCATTTTTACCTGATTTTAATCATTTTTTGCGCCAGTCCCTATAAATGGAATGCAGGGTCAGTCACATATCACAATATACCCCCCACTTACCCGACCAAAACTACATATTCTAATAAAGCTTGATCTGCATAACACAAATCTAAACTCTACATGATCAAATTTAAATGGTCTAAAATCCAAATTGAATGACACGCTTTAAAGGACAAAACATAAATTTTTTAAAAGTTAATATAATTTTAAATTCTTTAAGTTGTCTTTATTTTGATTTTAATCAAGACAACACAGGAGCATAATAGAAAATGAGAACAGATTTTAAGGATACCGTTCCCATGACACAAAAATTATCGTACAAGTCAACCAAATAAAAATATCTAGGCCCGTTCCAATGGAAATTTCTTTGAAAAAATTACAACGAGATTTCAAAAAAAAATTATTAAAAAGTCTCAATAACAGCTTAACAATTCAAAATATGAAATGACAACTTTTGAGATTTATTTATAATATTTTTTTTGAAACCTTAGTGGAATTCTCCCATTTTTTTTGGTGTTAGAAAAATTTAGGTGGGTTGTGCTAGGGCTTACCAGTCTTAAAAGAATATCTCCAATCTCAAACGTTTACAAAGGCATTTGGGTATGTTGGATTGAGAGTAGAATAAGTAGTTTATTTTCAATTTAGTTTTTTAAAAAGCTAGATTGAGGAAAGTGATTTATATTTCGATTGAATTTTATAAAAAATTAATTTATAAAAATAGAAAAGTCGTTTGGATTGACTTTGTAAACAAAAAGTCAATGTGTAAAAATAAAATTGTTTGAATTATTAATGAAAAAACAAGTTTAGTTGTAAAATAACTGGAAAAAATGAATTTTATTAAATAATACTCTTTTTAGTTTAAAATATAAGCATCAACTAATTAAATCATGGAACTCAAAAAATCAAAACATATTTAATGATTTAACTAACATTCTTTGTTTTGTGAAAAAAATGTAACTAAATATTATTATATTATGAATTAGAAGAACTACTCCTCTAATCATATTTATAAGGCCATTTGAATTTTCACATAATTAAGAAAATCTTAAATTTTGTTAACTCTCATTTAAAGTTCAATAAAATTTCTAATTTTATCTTTATTAAATAAAATTATACATCATGAAAATAAAGTCAACATAATAATAAATGAAATATAAAAATTATATTTAGAGAAAAGATTTCTCTCTCTACCTTATAAATAAGACAATAATTTTTTTTCTTCTTTGTTAGAGAATAAGACTTGAGAAATAATATTTAATTTATCTCTCTTCGTGGTTTAACTTCTTTCTTTGTGATAGTAATTTTTTAAAAGTAAGACCTATGTTTTTTTCTTCTCTCTCCACTTTTCTAACGCCACAAACATCAAATTTTAGCTTTTGATATAAGCTCTTAATTTTTTAAGTTATTCCAAACACAACACAAAACATGCCAAAAGTGCATTTAGCCTTTAAAAGCTCCTTAAATGCCACTTAAATGTGGCTCCAAACAGGCACAATTTATATGAAAAAATAAGATAAAATATTTTATCAAAAAATATCTAAATACTCTTCTACTTCTATTTATGGAGCAAAAAATTTTTTTTTTAATACTATTTATAAGTCAGTTCATTAAATTATGAAATGTATTATATTACTTCATTTATTATAGTGTAGCTAGATACTTTTTTGTTGTGAAATTGTAATATTAAATATAGATAAAGTTGAAAAGTCGTTATATTTTAACAAAAAATTAATACAATTTAACATTTTCCTCTATACATGTGAAACATATAAATAGGACAAGGTGGGCATTAGAGACGGAATCAAAATAATTAAATATTAAAAAGACACAAATATTCTTGTCTTTTGCTAGAATTTTTTTTTCTTTGGTTGGGGGAACATGACGAGAAAAAACAAGAAAAATAAATATTGTTTTTCATGTGTCATGTTCTATAATTGACAACAGAAGTGGTAAAACGGGTTGGCCTGCTGGTTACGGCCAGCATGCAGGTTGCAGCAGCTTGAGACCATGCAGATCGGTCCTAAAAAGACCGCCTCCTAACAGAATCACATTTTGCCAACTCATACCGCCAACCCGTCAACCTCCATCATTTTTTAAAATTTCTTTTACGCATATATTTTAAATTTTTAAATTAAATTATAAATCTTTATAAACTAAATTCTTCTTATTCTTATCTTTTCATATAATTATATAATTAAATCAATCTTAAAATTTGAAATATAAATATATAATTCATCGTTAATAGTTATTTTATTAATATAAAAATGGTAAAACAATAAAGAAAATGAGAAATCAAATTTAGAATCAAAGTTTTTAACAAAATACAAAGTCATATGTAAATTAAGTGAAAATAATAAAACTTTTTCTTATTAAAATCAGAATAAAAATTGTGAAAACATTTTTAAAAAATAAAAAACAAGCTGGCGGGCTGGGTTAGCTTGTTATGGGTTGGTGGATGCAGGCTGAAAATTATTACATCAAAACAGTATTTATTTTTTTCAATCCAACCCACCACTTTATGGGAGGTTGGTGAGTTGAGCCCATATTATCAGTTCTAATTGACAATGTGATTCCATCAATGATGTGATTGCGGAAGAAAAACTCATTTTTTAACAAATCAAACAAATAAGGATAAAAATGAAAATACAAATTATCTTAGTATGATTTTAGAATTTCGAGAACACTTTTGACAAGACTAGCAAATTAGAGATAAATATAAATTTTCAAAATAGAGGAAAATTTGCAATAACTAGAATACAAATGAAAAAAACCTTAAAGCTTTTATAAAATCATAATTTTTATTGTAAAACTGGAATCACAAAATAGTTGAAAGTACTATCATATAATATAATAATATAGTTGTTTTAAAATAAAAATATATTTATAACTTTCAGTTTAAATAAATAATATCCAAGCAAAAAGTGAGAAAACCAGACATACTTTTTAGAAATTTTTTTTTTAAAAATATCAATTGAATTTTAAAATGTCAAATTAAAAGTTTCTATAAAAATGCATTAGTATTTGTTTTTTAAATGTAATCAATTACTATTGAAGCATAGAAAATAAAATTGATTTGGTATTTTAAAGGAAAAATTGTAAATAAAGACCCTTAATATGTAAAATTGTGATTTGGAACTCTAAATTTGGAAAATAGTAAATAAGGACCGAGTTCCACTTTTGTAAATATGAAATGTGGGTGAAATGTCTGAAATGTCTCTCAGTCAAATTGTGATTTGATCTGTTGAAATTGTTATTTGCTAAAGTGAATTTGGAATTTCCCATAGTTAACTCGTTATTTGGTATACGCTCAGTCAAGTTGTGATTTAATTTATTAAAGTTGTTATTCGTTAAAACAAACTTGTCATTTTCTATAGTTAACTTGTCATTTGGGTGAGGAGTATTTCAGATATTTCACCATGATTTTATATTTGTGAAAGTGAGACCAGGTCTTTATTTGTTATTTTTCAAATTTAAGGTCTCAAATCACAATTTTATATATTGGGAGTCTTTATTTATAATTTTTTGTATTTTAAAATTCAAGTAGTATTTTGTTTTGAGATTTTTCCTACAGTTTTTATAATAAGTTTAGCTATTTTTTGAGAATTCTTTTTTGCCAACGAGCTATTTTGAGAATTAGAAAATAGAATTTATAAAACTAGATTAATCCCGGCGAAGATTGCCCGGAATATATAAAAATTATGTAAAAAAATTTGCACGGAGTTAAAAAACAACGTGGGAGTACCAATAACTGCTGCAATTTTACGACTTTTAATTTTTACGTATGTAATTGATTGACATGTTATTCGACCAATTATTATATTATATTTTTTGTAGTTGATATTAGATCTCTCTTCCACTCCCATCATCATATTCCTCCTCGGATCAGAAAAAGAGGTAAGCCTTTCTCTCGTTGAATCGCTTTTTCTGATATTGTAGGATGACTTTCCAAACAGTTTCATGCGCTTCATTGCATCCAATTACAGTTCTTTCACTTCGATCTTAGTCTTGATTGGAAGCTAGTGATTTTATCGATGGATTTCTCCTCAACTTTAATGTTCCTAGATCTTTGTTATTTCGTCTCTTGTCGAATTTATAGTCTAAATTTTCTGTTTTTAGAGTTTCGGGCAAGGCCTTTTCTTGGGCCCGTAATTCAGAATCTGGTCAATGGTGGAATGAAATAAAATTTAAGTTCGGCGAAATTTAAGACATAACGGGCGGTTTTACTCACTTCAATGGCTTCATTCTCTAATGACTGACTTGAATTGAGCCAGTTAAGGCTTTTCAATCCACTTTGAGCTCTTCATTTTATCTTGCTTCGTAATATGGGAGATGGAGTGATATGTCAATAAGAAAAGATAGTTTTGGATTATTCCCCTTTGGTTGTACGCTTGGGTTTCTAAATTTTAATTCATCAGCTGGGTTACCAACATAGTTTTTCTTTTCTTTTCTTTTTGTCTTGAATCTTAACAGAATTGTTGCCCTTTTCAGTTGTATATGTGGATTGGCGTATATTGATTTTTGTGCGGTTTTTTTTTGTCTGCTTGTTTGGAGCTAAAAGATGGGTGCTGCGGAGAACAATCACGATATGGAGGAAGGAACCTTGGAGATAGGAATGGGTACGTACTTCTCTAATAAGTTTTGAGCTAGTCCTTGACTATATCAGAGATGATATTTAATCCTAGATTCTATAGAAATGTCATTTTGGTAGACTAGGATCAATCAACATTGATAAATTGTGATGCTCTGCTTATTTTATGTGCAGAATATAGAACGGTATCCGGAGTTGCTGGACCTTTGGTCATTCTTGATAAAGTTAAGTAACGACCAGGTGCTTCTGCCATGCTTATTGCATATTCTAATTATGGATCTTTGTCAATTAGGGTATTACTATCTGTGTTCGTTACTAATTCTAAACTATCAACTGCTTCAGGGACCTAAGTTTCAAGATAGTTAATATTCGTTTGGGAGATGGAACAACTCGCGTGGGCAAGTAGTTTTAGAAGTTGATGGTGAAAAGGGTTGTTCAGGTGAATGCTTATGGAATTCATAATCACCACGAGTTTCTGTTGGCATAATAGTTTTTGAAAAAGTTTTGGGGATTCTTATTTTTTATGTCTTGACTTGAATAACTTGTAGTTTGGTAAAATATTCTGAGAACCCCATTTTCTCAATATTAGTGAATCATTTTTGGTTCATTGTGAGTAACTAATTGGGTGCACTTCCCCTTTGTTGACATTTTTCTACTGCCCTATCAGCAAATGACTTCACTGTTTATTTATGTCCTTTGCTGTTGATATATCAACGGGTGAAAGTTTACTCACCTTTTTGAAGCACTGGTCAGGTCTTTGAAGGTACATCTGGGATTGACAATAAATTTACAACTGTGCAATTTACTGGAGAGGTATGAATTATTTGCTCTTACTATTTTAAATATTATCAGAAGCACATATTATTAATAAGGATGCACTTCAATGTAAGTACATATTTCTTCTACGGTAAACCTACAGTTAGATTAGACCTTGTTGTCTTTATCTTTTCAGGTTGTTGAACATCCTGTCTCACTGGACATGCTTGGGCGCATATTTAATGGTTCTGGAAAACCAATTGATAATGGTCCGCCAATTTTGCCTGAGGCATACTGGATATATCGGGTAAGCTGAGTTCTCATGTGATTAATTATTGTTACTTGTGTGCTTTCTGTTTATATGCTTTTTGTTTTTATTTTTTTTCTAATAATGCCCTAATTCAGGAGCTCCATCAACCCCAGCGAGAGAACCTATCCGAGGAGATGATACAGACAGGAATATCCACATTGATGTCATGAATTCTATTGCTAGAGGTCAAAGATTCCTCTTTTCTCAGCTGCTGGTCTTCCCCATAATGAGATCGCTGCTCAGATATGTCGTCAGGCTGGGTTAGTCAAGAGATTGGAAAAATCTGATAATCTTCTTGAGGGTATAGTTGATTTATTTGGTTGTAAACAACATAAATAAGGTAAAAGGCTAGGATTTTTTGTGGTTATCAATTCTTGAAAATCCTATGATAAAGAAGCTCAAAAAAGATTTGAATAATGAAGCTTGTTGTTTTGTACTTTTATTGCTGACAGATGTTGTAGTTCTTGTTGGTTTAGCTGGAAATAACACTGTTTTTATCAATTAAGTTAGTTAAACTCATGATCTTGATACTTACATCAAGGCGATATTCTCTAATATAACAATCTATGTACAGGGTGGGGAAGAGGACAATTTTGCCATTGTGTTTGCAGCTATGGGAGTTAACATGGAGGACTGCACAGTTTTTAAGCGAGACTTTGAGGAGAATGGCTCAATGGAGAGAGTGGATGACCTTTTTCTTATCTGGTAATCTTTTAGATCAGTATGT